TCGGTCGTTACTGAGCCACACCACATCTGGCCTTCACTTACAGATGACCAGTGGATGAAGGTACGTTCAGGAAAATGTACCTATGCCTCCTTGAATTTGCCATACCTTGATATTGTGAAAGAAACTTTTGTTAGTGGCACACCATTGTGCCGATTTTAATTTGATGGACTCCTTTCTGATTCTGGACTGTGCATGGTGCAGGTTGAGGTAGCGCTTAGAGATCTCATTCTCTCAGACTATGCAAAAAAGAACAATGTCAACACATCAGCATTGACGCAGTCTGAGATCCGTGATATTATACTCGGAGCTGAGATTACTCCTCCATCCCAGCAGCGCCAACAGATAGCTGAGATTGAGAAACAGGTTATAATCTTGGTCCTTCTAGTACTTATCAATGTAGCCCCCTTTGTTTTTACAGATTCAGTTGCTAATGTGCATCATCTTTTCAGGCCAAGGAAGCAAGTCAACTGACAGCGGTTACCACAAAGACCACAAATGTCCATGGTGATGAGTTGATCGTTACTACTACGAGTCCTTACGAGCAAGCTGCCTTTGGCTCTAAAACAGATTGGCGTGTGAGAGCAATTTCTGCAACAAATCTCTATCTCCGTGTGAACCACATATATGTAAATTCAGAGGACATAAAGGTAACACTTGCTTTGCCATCTATTGTTTAACTAGACATACTATACCTTTAGCACCTTGTTCGTAGAATCACTGTTGCAATGGAAACGAATTCTGTGTTAATATTTTGGTTTTTAACTGTTTGTGCAGGAGACTGGATATACGTACATCATGCCAAAGAATATTCTGAAGAAGTTCATTTGCATTGCCGATCTGCGGACACAAATTGCTGGTTACTTATATGGTGTAAGTCCACCAGATAATCCTCAGGTGAAGGAAATCCGGTGTATTGCAATGCCTCCACAGTGGGGGACACATCAGCAGGTGCATCTACCTTCCGGTCTTCCGGAGCATGATTTTCTCAATGACTTGGAGCCTTTGGGATGGATGCACACACAACCAAATGAACTTCCTCAGTTGTCTCCACAGGTTAACTTCTATTCATCTTTGTTTTGTACTGCAGCTTAATGAGTTATATTTCCAGGGGTTAGGTGGGGTTTGTTTAGCCAATTGCTCTATGCAGAGCTCTTCTGATGTGTAAATCTTCTGAATAACAGGATGTTACTTCACATGCTCGGATCCTGGAGAACAACAAACACTGGGATGGAGAGAAGTGTATTATATTGACATGCAGCTTCACACCAGGGTCTTGTTCGTTAACTGCATATAAGTTGACCCCAACTGGGTATGAATGGGGACGTGCTAACAAAGATACAGGAAGCAACCCTCATGGTTACCTGCCGACTCATTACGAGAAGGTCCAGATGCTGTTGAGTGACCGATTCCTTGGCTTTTACATGGTAAGTGTGCTAGTCTATGGATTATTCAGTTGGATTTTTGATTGCTGCTCCCGTCCCATGTTTTCTGCATCTCCCTGCTTCCTTATATGCCATCTCCGTCTAGAACTGAATCTCAATTTAACTTTGTTGTGCAGATACCTGATAATGGTCCATGGAATTACAACTTCATGGGAGTGAAGCACACTGTTAGCATGAAGTACGGGGTGAAATTAGGTACACCTAGGGAGTACTACAATGAGGATCACCGACCTACACATTTCCTGGAATTCAGCAATATGGAGGAAGGTGACACTGCTGAGGCAGATCGGGAAGATACATTTACATAATACAAAGCCATTCAAATATACGTTGGTAAGTTTACCCTTAAGCCTTTGGGAAGTCAAATCAAATGGTGACTTAGTTGTTGTATGTCTCAGCTATAATCCATAGTGTAGTGGCTGATGATATTAGATGGAACCCCTACAAGTTGTAAATATATCAAATGAATTTGTAGCTTGATACCACTGTATGCTTTTTATCCGAGGGCGGATCTCGTCTTTGTCGGTTTAGAATTTAGCTCGCGCCCTTTAGATGCGGCAAACCAAACAGATGTTTGTACAGTAAGAGGAAGCAAATCGTGTTTTTGGTATTTTGATTTTTCCTTTAATCCTGTTGTAGTAGGAACCTTGTATGCCGAGAGCAATGCAACTGAACAGTGTAAGATTTAGAATGGTCATTAATTAAACGCTAGTAATGTCTTTCTCTATTCGTATTAAAGGTTTGACTCTACTTTTTATAACGCAGGGATAAGGTCTGCGTACACTTACCTTCCCCAGATTCCACTTTGTGGAATTTCGCTGTTTTTTTTTTTTTTTTTTTTTTTTTTTTTTTTTTTTTTTTTTTTGCAGCT